TTATACTTATTTTTTATTTCCTGGATACAATACTCCAAAGAATCCTAGGTGGGGATTATACCACCCACGCTGTTACATAGAGCAGTTAGCCTGCCCTATATACTGTGAGTATATTTTATTATTTTATTTATTTTACCATAATTTTATTGAGAGCACTATCGCTGTTTTATCTTCTCTCCGAGCTCCCGAGACCCAAGTCAAGATCACTCATCCCATATCCCACAAGCGGGGATAATACCGCTGTACGCCTAATCAACTAGAGCTAGTCTAAGCTCTACCGAATGTGAGTGTATCTACTATATTTTATAATTTTTACCATACGTGTGGAACATACTGCACCATTACTGTCTCTATTTTTATTCTCCAACTTGGTTACCTGTCACTACAAAGAAGAGGACACTTGCCGCATATCCTGCAAGCGGGGATAATACCGCTGCAAGCCATTCACACCAGAGCAGGATTAAGCTCTGCCAATTGTAAGTAAGATCTCTTCTATTTTTCACATATTTGGATTACTCTTCACACCACCAACACCTTCTGGATATCGCTGAAGTAGACCCTTGGATACGACAATATAGATCCCACTGGACTTAATATTACTATTTATTGTGCACACTGGCGCAGACCCATCCCCCCACTTTTCCTGTTTTTACTATCTGATTCCCAGGGACATTAGAGGGATTCCCTGTTTGGGACTGCCGCCTTCCGGACTAGCGCTGACTCTACCCCTTGTTCTATTATTTTAACCCTGTCTGATCTTTTCATCCCTCAAATATTTTTTGTAAGGAATCACCAAATAAATAAAATATAAATATGTACAATTTTACATAATTTAATCTAGGAATTTCTGAATGGCAATCGATACACAAGATTGTTGTTTTGTTTTCCTATGGCTATGTGCGATACATCCCTTGCTTATAAATGAATATTGTTCTCATATTTTGTTAGTGAAATGGTGAAGAAACGCACAAGAAGATTGTGGACACTTTAATTTTACAGACACTGTTAGCATGCTCAGTTCTCTTTTTTAGATCTTGTCCAATAATGGATTTATTTGCAGTATTCTGAGAAAAGCTCAACGCTGAGCAAAATCTATTAAAGGGACACTATAGTCACCCGAACAACTTAATGAAGCAGTTTTGGTGTATAGAACATGCCCCTGCAGCCTCACTGCTCACTCCTCTGCCATTTAGGAGTTAAATCCCTTTGTTTATGAACCCTAGTCACACCTCCCTGCATGTGACTTGCACAGCCTTCCATAAACACTTCCTGTAAAGAGAGCCCCATTTAGGCTTTCTTTATTGCAAGTTCTGTTTAATTAAGATTTTCTTATCCCCTGCTATGTTAATAGCTTGCTAGACCCTGCAACAGCCTCCTGTATGTGATTAAAGTTCAATTTAGAGATTGAGATACAATTATTTAAGGTAAATTACATCTGTTTGAAAGTGAAACCAGTTTTTTTTTTTCATGCAGGCTCTGTCAATCATAGCCAGGGGAGGTGGGGCTAGGGCTGCATAAACAGAAACAAAGTGATTTTACTCCTAAATGACAGTGAATTGAGCAGTGAAATTGCAGGGGAATGATCTATACACTAAAACTGCTTTATTTAGCTAAAGTAATTTAGGTGACTATAGTGTTCCTTTAATTATATTTAGGCTTTGAAAATACTTACTTGATTAGCTTTTGTGCATTTTTTACATATCTTAATGCCAGCATGTTGAAGGATTGTAAACTTGGGAAAGAGAACATGTTTAATGTGTGATATTTCAAAACAGTATTGTGTTACATGATTCGCAGTTGCTTTCACAACCCAGTGCATTGCACTAACAGCTCAATGTTTAAGGGAAATTATCTTGCATTCCACTTGCAACAAATCTGTTGCATATTTTTAAAAAATATATTATTATTATTATTATTACTATTATTATTATTGCCATTTATATAGCGCCAACAGATTCTGTAGTGCTTTACAATATAATGAGAGGGGGGATTTGACTATAGGAAATAACAATCAAATAAGGTGCGAGTAAAACAGAGCTGGAGGAGAGAGCAGAGTGCTGCCCTTTAGAGCAAGGTATGTGAGGTAGAGGTTACTCTGGGAAGCCATAAGCTTTCCTAAAGAGATGGGTTTTTAGGCAGGCTATTCCATAGGAAGGGAGCCGCCTGTGAGAAGTCCTGCAATTGTGAGTTGGCCGTACGGGTGTGAGCAGCGGACAGGAGAAGGTCACGTGCAATACTGTATTGCATGACTGTTGCAATAAAACTAAGATATATGTTGTACTGCAAAAAGTCAAGTGCATGTCGTAATGCATACCATATTGTATTTAGCTGCAACAAATTGGATGCCAGTTGCTACAAATCAGATGCAAAAAAAAAAAAAGCTAACAGCTCTAGTTACTAAAGTGAGGATTCAAAGTGAGTTTCAAAAATTAAGGCTAGAGTAGCCTAGCTGACTTTTCTAGTTTGCCTATTTTGATGTTAAATTTAAAATTCACTTTGAATTCACTTGTCTGAGGGTGCTGTGTGTGTCTCGGGATGCTGTGTGTGTCTGGGTGCGCTGTGTGTGTCTGGGTGCGCTGTGTGTCTGGGTGCTGTGTGTGTTTGGGTGCTGTGTGTGTCTGGGGGTGCTGTGTGTGTCTGGGTGCTGTGTGTGTCTGGGTGCTGTGTGTGTTTGGGTGCTGTGTGTGTCTGGGTGCTGTGTGTGTCTGGGTGCGCTGTGTGTCTGGGTGCGCTGGATGTTTTCAACGTATCTTGAATTTGTATCTATTGTTTTAACCCTTGATCACATGCAAGGCTAGTAATAATAATTACTGGTATGTGTTTATTTACCCCTGCACCGGGGGAAATATCACAGCGGAAATAATTTAAAATTAAGATTTTGATGTGCGAGCATTAATGACTTCATTAGCTTTCCCTTTAAAAAGAATGTTGTTAATTGAATGACATTAAACACTTTATATTGTTTTGATGATTGTGTTTTTATGAAAAATAATACTTTAATATTAGGCCAATAAGGAACGCTTTAAGCTTAATGAAGAGCAAGCATATAAAAAGAATGCAAATTTCACCAGATAACAGGATAGAAAATGCATGTAACCCAAGGGAACATAAATCTTTTGAACTGATATAAAATCTAAATTATATTTTATAGGAGAATATTAAAATGCTAAATATTGGTTAAAAGAACAGTATCTGATATATATATGTGTGTCTATGTGTGTGTGTTTAGTGGTCAAATATGAACCCCTTAAGGACCAAACATCTGGAATAAAAGGGAATCATGACATGTCATGTGTCCTTAAGGGGTTAAATATGAGTGTGCTGCATCTCTTATTAATTGCATGAGAATTATGGGGGATGTAATTGGCCATACAGAAATTCAGTAAAATTTGCTTTCATCATAAAGGAGAGGGGAAAATGAAGCCATACTAGGTGGACACTTGTCACCATACATGGATTCTCTTAAAGGCTATGGGACATCTCCAAGGCTCCAAGATTCCTGCAAGCATTTGGCCTCACTCATTTTATTGGGACCTTGCCAACAGCACCCCAAATGTGTAATGGTCAGAAGACATATAAGAGATGTCTTAGACAGTGAATGTGTCACATTGGTATCTCTGGTTGACTTGGACATTTGTTTCAGGCCGAACTGTAATCTAGCCAAATGTGGGCAAATCAGGTGCTCAAATTCCAAGCTGAACTATAACTGAATTATGGATTAACAGAACCACGCAATGTCAAACATGTTCAGTATTCTGAATTCCGCCCGTAGAGCCAAAAAAAGAAGATGATTGATGGTAAAACTAGATGTTTAATGGACTAGGTACAGTCTCTTAATGTTGCATTTATTCACAGATCAAGTGAGAAATATATAAATACAGCTGTTTTGTTACTGCTCTCCTCCTATCTCCTCTGTTGGTTACTTTTTCCCAGCTCATCTGTGAAGCAAGCAGTGGCAATATGTAAACATAATAATAAATGATATTTTGCAGCAGCCCGATTGGTCCATTTTCACATTTTTTTAGTTTGCTCTCCTGAGCATGTGCACAGGTAAGTATTGTCTGGCCAGGTAAAAGGTATAGCAACTGATGTAGACATTTATGATGGATAAATCATCCAAAAGATAACCATAGGCTCCTAATTTGATACACGAGTGCTTGGGAGAACCGATAATAAAACCACAGAATCTGTTTGTGGTTCAAAATCATCTCATCATTTAATTGTGAGAGTGCTGCATATATAAAATGGCATTAGTCTAGTATGCATGTGTCAAAGCAATAATGACTCACTTGAAAGTGTTATCTAAACTATGCAAGGTTAAAGCAGACTGTAACATTTCATGAGAAACAGAAAAACCATCTGCAGAAACTGCAGACAAAACTATTTAGGTTTTAACCCCTGCAGACGTTGAAGAACTTAACTAAGGCAAAGGCTGTAACCCTTTATGTACCTTTTATCTATGACAATTCCCATCTTTTGGCACCACTGGTGAGAGTTCTAGGCAAGGTATATCCAGGTATACTAGTTATACCTGTGGGACTTTAATTAGATCTTCACCTCGGTTCCCATGCCATCTCACATCAAAGGAGCCATTAATGAAGACTTGTCCAGATATCTGTTGGTTACAGGATAATATGTGTTATTAAAACCATGTCTCATTTTGCAATACATCCATAGGTTAAAATAGGTTAAAAGAAAGAAAAGACATATCACAACAATTGGTGGGTGCAGTACTATGTTTAAGACTTCTTTATCGGAGGGGGACCATCTTGTAAAAATATCATTCCAGTGATGGTTAACTCTGCATCCTGGATGAAGGTAATCGTATCATTGAACCACTTGAGCATTGTCATGTTCTGAAAGCATCCTGCAAACGGCATAGGGACTCCCAGACTTTTGTTGGTATCTGGCTGAGAACATATAAGGCAAATATACAAAGGAGCGAGTTCCATATACATGTCTATCGGACCAGGGGACACTGTCCAATCACACACAGAATGTTGAAGCATACAAGGCTCTTTTCATCCCCATATTAGTTACAAGTATTACTGAAATGTTAGTACATGCCAAAGTGTAGCAGTCAGTCATGTTCACCACCATACTAGCATTCACATTCACAGGTCGCTCTTTCAAACATCTCAATACGTTAGTCACTGTCTTTTCATCACGGTGTTTCCAATCGAACTCTTTCATGCATGAGCTGTTGAGGAACCCACAAGAAACAGAGACATTTTGGAGCCATGTCACATTGAAAGTAGTCATGTCTTTGCCTAGGTACAGTTGACCCCGTTCCCCATTATACCAGTGTCCATGATCTTTTCTGATGCTAGCCAGTTTGCAGTTGGGGAGGGACATGTTGGCAAAGCAGGTGTAATTGTCCTTTATTCTGTTAAAATTTACTCTGTCCTAGCTAAAAAAAATTTTTATAAAAAATCATAGTGTCGTTTGAACAGTCTAGAACAAAGTGTTTTTTTTCAGTAGGATTGATAGATAGATGTACTGATATGTACCTGTGATATATTTTATTGATACACTCACTTTTTGCGTAAAAATAACATTTGTCTATTGTTAATGTACCTGCTCGCTAAAGTCTATGAGGTTTGGATTTCTTACATTATTTTGTGGATTAGATTAACACAGTATCGTGTTATTAACGCATGCTCTCCTTTGGTCTAAGGGTAGCACATAAAAGTCGCAACAGGTTCTAAACCCTAAATCACAGGAGCAAGAGTTCGCTGAAAAAGAAAGTTCGGATTAAGTAACATGGTGATCTAGTTATAAGCGACAAGATGGGCCGAATGGCTCATTTCTGTCGTCACAGTTTATTTTTCTATATTTCTATCACTACTTCTTTAACGGTAGCAAGCTCAAAAGCAGAACATTTATTTTAATTCATCAAAATAAAAGGAAAAACAACCTTGATTATACCGTTTTGTAATCGTACTAAAGGTACATCTATATGTAGGGGCACTGGTTATCTGGGTAGGACAGAAAAGATGCAATTATCTACCTACCTAAAAAGGAACATTAAGGAACCTCAATGTGAAACCTATTTAGTGAGAACAACTAAAGTGGGTCAATTTCAATGGGCAGACTGATGATTAGAGGAGGACTAGTGAATGATTGCTAACTAATTAATCAATGTTGTGAGAATAAGTGGAGAATGATGGCTGTAACGAGGTGTAAGTGGCATATTGCACGCTTCTGCCAGCTGTTTTTTTTTTATTTTTTTTTCCGCTGAGACTAGATAATAAATGCTTTCTTTGAGACTGAAAGCCACAGCAGTTATGCTTTAAAAGGATATTTCTTTACCAGGAAGAATGGAATTGCAAAATCCTTTATGGTTATAATTACCTGTACTCGGCCGGCAATATTGGGTAGATGTGATGACTGATTCCTTTGTTAGATGCATGAACTTTCATGGATTTTAATTAGCACTTTGAGCAGACAAAGATACGTAGTTATTAATATAGTTCATAGTGAAAAGGAAGCTGTTTATTGTTACAAAAAAAAAGTGGATTCTTTTGTTTCTAATGTCACTGAGACAGAAGTGATTCATAAAACATAATATTT